CGCTCAGCGCCAGGAATAGCCGAGGCGTCTCCGGCGCCGCGGCTGCGGGACTGTGCCAGCACTGCCTGTGTGTGCCAGGGCCTGTCTGCCTGTCCTGCTGTGTCTCTACCTCTGGTGGCCGCTGCTGGCAGCGCCAGACAGGGTGGACTGCAGCACCCCTTGGCCTCCCCTTGTCCTGCTTTCTGCTAGGTCGTGGTAGCCAAATATCTGCCTTTTGCTGACTGTGCTTCCCTTGGCCAGGTGGTGGAGAAGACCAACCCCACGGAGCCGGTCGGCGTGGTGTGCCGGGTGGACGGCGTCTACCAGGTGGTGGAGTACAGTGAGATCTCCCTGGCCACCGCGCAGAAGCGGGGCCCGGACGGGCGGCTGCTCTTCAACGCGGGCAACATTGCCAACCACTACTTCAGCACGGCCTTCCTCAAAGACGTGGTCAAGTACGGGCCCGGCGGCTGCTCGCGGAGGAGGCCGGGGCTGGAGCAGCGCTCGCGCCCGCGCCGTGCTCTCTGCTGCTTTAAGCTCCAGCTGTTTGTGGGATGTGTGTGCTGGGATGAAGGCCATGTGCTCTGCTCTGTGTCTCGTGTCTGTCCCCTGCCCTTGCAGCTGCCGCCGTGGCCTGACCCCTGTCCCTGCGCTCCATCCCTGCCTGGACATGAGGTTTTCCCGGGCCTGGCTGTGTGGTGCCGTCTCGTTGCGGTCTGGCTGCCGCGGGGACGAGACGCGTGCGCTGGGGTGTTGGGGCAGAGCTGCCTCCCTGCTCCGAGCTGGAGAAGCGCCCGCGCGGCCGTGGCAGTGAGGGCTCTTTCTTGGCCTCGCAGCACTTACGAGCCGCAGCTGAAGCACCACGTAGCTGAGAAGAAGATCCCCCACGTGGACATCGCTACTGGGCAGCTCATCCAACCTGAGAAGCCCAATGGGATCAAGATGGAAAAGTTCGTTTTTGACATCTTCCAGTTTTCCAAGTATGTGCTTTACTCAGGAGGCCTCCTGGGGTCAGGGTGGGCTCAGAGCCCCTGTGCTGTCCAGCAGTAGCGGATGATGTGCGTGGGGGTGTGAGCAGGAGGAGCAGTAGCTGTGTGCCTCTTGCTCTGCGGGATTGTCACTCACTGCTTTTTGGCCGTAGCTCCCGGGCCCCAGGGATATTAACCTGTATCACCTCTGTGCTCTAAACGGTGGCCTCTTTTGGCAGCTGGAGAAGTTGAGCGATGGGGCTGTTTGATCTGTGCTTTGGAGGACACTCCAGTACCTGCTATGCTTGTGTGTCATGGTCTCCATGCCCTGTTCAGTGCCCCCTGTGCCAGCCTCCTCTGGGGTCACCTGGGTCCACTGGTGGGTCCATGGCCCTGGCTCCCCTGGCCTGGTAGCAGAGAAGCTAAAGCAAAAGGGCCAAAACAGGCGTGTTTTCAAACCTGACCTTCCCGTGCCTCACTCACTTGCTTCCAGAAAGTTTGTAGTGTATGAAGTCCTGCGTGAGGATGAGTTTTCTCCTCTGAAGAATGCAGACAGCCAGAACGGGAAGGACAATCCCACCACAGCCCGACATGCCTTGATGTCTCTGCATCACCGCTGGGTTCTCAACGCAGGGGGGCATTTCGTGGATGAAAACGGCACACGCATCCCTGCCATCCCTCGGTAAGCAGCTGGCCCTGCTGTTCCCCATGCAGCCATTCCCTTTCCTAGGGGTTACGGCTGCCAGCTTGGATCCTGCCCCCCTGCTTGGGGTAAGCGCGGTGAGCTGCTCTCCCCGGGCAGGAGAACCTTGTGTGTTATGTCTGGGCTGGGTATAAAATGTTAGGCAGTCCCCAGCCCTTCCATGCTCCTAAAACGTTGTTCCAGCATTGCCTGAAGCCATGGGGCAGGCGCCCCTTCCCGTGGCAGCCTGCGCCATGCCCGGAGCGCTGTGCTCCCTTGGGGATGCAGCAGCTTTCCTCATGTCAGCCCCTGGGAACTGCAGGACTCCTTTGCACAGTCAGGCTTGGAGGACACAGCTTCTTAAACCCCCCTGTGCTACCAGACTTGTGCAGCAGCCAGGCTGGGCTTGTGGCATCCCTCCACGCGGAGCTTTTCTACCGCCTCTGAAGCGGGGCCGGAGAACAGCACGCCCCACACGTGTTCCTCTGCCCCGTTTTACTCCCGTCCTTGTTAACGCTTGTTTATTCCCACGTAGTGTCACAAACGGAAGGTCAGATGCCACCGCAGCTGATGTGGAGGACAAGTAACTATCCAGGGCAGCCGGGCTGCAGTGCATGGTGGTGGGGCTGCGCTTGGGCGCTGCCGGCCCCGGGCTGCGCGGGCTGCTCCCCGCTCCGGCAGGCGCTGACGGGACGGCTGGCGGCTCCCGGCAGCCTGCGGGGAGCGGGGCATGCCTTGCTGGAGGGCCCTGGAGATGCCGCTTCTCACGGTAGCGGGGATGTGCAGCGTCTGCTAATTCCCACACCCCTTTCTGCGGAGGCTTGGACGGACCGTGCAGCAGAACTGGAAGGGGTTTGTGCCGAGACGTTGGGGCAGCAGAGACTGTAGGGCCCGGCTTGAGCTGCTCTCCTTCTGCGTGTGTGGAGTAGCGACGTGGGGAGCGCAGAGCCTGGAGGGTACACCAGGAACACCAGGCACGGAGCCATTGGGTCCGTGTCCAGCACGTGGGCTCGAGGTTACACAGGGCCTTTGAGCTTGTGGGATGTAAAGCAGAGGGTGATGCTCTGCCCTGCAGGGCTCACAGTGCCTCCGTGGAGCTGCTTACGGGTTTGCAGCTCCCGTAACTGTTCGGCGGTCGTTTTGCTGCAGCCTGGCTAGAGCCCGGCTCCGATGGGGTGTTCGGCGGTGCCTGTGCTGGCCGCCCCCTCCCTGAGCTCAGAGCGCGCTGGGCCGGTGGCTCCGGGCAGCCCCCGGGGCGGCGGTGACGTCTCCCTGCGCACAACGCGCCGGATGGCAGCAGGCTGCGGC